TTGTTTTCTTTTTTTGTGGCAAAATGATATATATAGGTATGTATATATACTACTATTATTATCAATAAACAAAACTATGTGTGTATATATGTTTTAAATAGTTTGCTTGTAACGAGACTAATGAATGATTCATCCGTATAAAAACGCCGTTAAAAATAAATTTATTTCGTTTCTCATCAAAAGCCTTAGTGTATAGTGCGCTATATTTGCGAACTAATTTATAAATGGACAAACCGAGGCTTGCCCGTGTAAGTATTTCGAGTGTATGTTTTAACTATATTTCCTACATTGTATAAAATGCTGTAATTATCCTGGCATTTTAGGAATTTAATAATAAAATAGATAAACTATATGTTTGAGCAATGTATAATTTTAAGCTTGAAAATGAAAGTTGAACTTGTCACGTGTTTTGTAGGCCTAACCACGTTCGTCTGTAACTTGTAAGTGTAACCATTCTTACGTCCCTAAATTACTGTATCGCTATCACTGTTTCAAGTGTTTGCTTCGTTAGTGTTAACTCATACGGTATTAGTTTACTTTGAAATGCTAATAATTAGTAAATATTAGATATATAACTTGTACTAACGACATAAATAAATAATACTCCTCATCGGACTTTACTATTTGTGCATACGTGTTGTGAACAGTGCCTTGCGGTAACACCTCATGTTTGTTCGTCTGTTCTGAAAAGTTCAATTTATTTAATAATAATATATTGATATGGTAGATTTTAGAAACATTATTATTAATATTATACTAGAGCTCCTGACCCCAAGAAGGACACTTTAATTTTTCACATGTCAAACTAGCTGAGACCTGAAGCAAAATTCATAATAATAATAATATACTTATAGGCATGCATTTTTTAAATGTATATATCGAACTAATCAACATGGAAGTGTATTTGTTTTTGTGATCTTCTCACAAGGTAATAATTGCAAAAAAAAAAACGTGAAAATATTTTGGAAGTTAACAGAACAGTTACTTTTTGACTTATGATGTAACTTGTAAGATATAAACAGTGAAAGTGTACAAACTTGTATATCTGTAGATTGTGAGATGTACAACGTTATAGGTGAATAATACTAATGCAGACTAGTATAATATTTAGCAGTAATATCATTAGCAAGCACCACGGAAGATGCTGGCTGAATATTATCCATACATGTTTCTCAAATGACATAATATTTTCAATTTGTCATGTATTCATCAAAGATCGTGCTGTTTAATGAAGTATTGTATTAGTGCCTTGTGGATCACAGGAGCCAATGCTACTAAACTACTGAACAGATTGTTGAATTTTCTATGTAAAATTAATATCTTTGGATTTTGTACATCTGTCCCTATCAAAACTATTATGATGATCTTTTTTTCATTAATGTTTTTTTACTAAAAGTTTTTAGGATATACATACTCATGGTATACATGTAGATGGTAATTAATACATTCTTGAAGCTTTTATTTATAAGTTACATTGAAATGCTAAATCTGGAAGTTATTTTAAAATCTTGTATGTTGTTTGTTCAAATATCATATATTTTCTAATTACATAAAAGTATATTATTATTGTTGATTTGTGCGTATAAAAAGTTGGTAATTTCAATTTTTGAGTTTACAAATTGAAATCTCAGGTGACCAAGGTTCTTGGAAGAACAGGTTCCCAAGGCCAGTGTACTCAGGTATGTAACCATTTTTTCAATATTTTGTGCGTGTAATATACACACCCAAATTTCAGAATGTTTCTTCAGAAAATAATACTAAACCATGATATTACCTTGAATTTTAACTTTTAAACAAAACTTAAAATATTGTATGAAAAATTAAAGGAAGATACTTGTGAACCTAAAACTTAACAGTAACTCACTTTTTATAATGTACATAGATAATAAAGCAATAATTACAAATAATTTTTTGCAGTATGAGTTTTCCAGTAATTGATTACTAGAAAGTAAAAATTAGTGTATTGTTTTGACAATTGAGCTTGGGATGTGATTCATTACTTTTAACAACATTAATCTTACTCTAAAGATGATCCATCGTATGTTTTTAAGCAACCATCACCCAGAGTCAAGTGACTTGATTGCTGTAATTTTCGGTATGATAACTGGAAACTGTCCAATAGTGTACATGGGCTATTTTGTTTTTGGAGTTTTGCTTGAGAACGGGTGATAAAAACAATTCTCCAAAATAGGGCACATTTTCACTTTATATATTTTAGACCTTTGGCTCTGAATTTAATAGCACATTTAATTACCCTTCACAAAGTAGGTTATGCAGTTAGCATCTTGTGAGGTCACTAAGAATATAGAAAGGGAATATTATTTAACATTGTCCTTTACACAGTTTTTGCTTCTTTAATGGGTACCCTTAGCTAGTGTTAAATAATTAAAAACATACTGGTTTGATTGTATTAACTTGATTATTTGAGCATTACATTGAAACATGCCTCCTCATTGTTAATCTTTCTTGTTTTTGACTGTAAATAATTCTTTCATTGTTGTTGCTGACTATAGGTACTCTTGCATTCTACATTTTTTGATACTTGCTCATTTTGTTTTTCATTTCTAAGAGCTTTTACTGAACCATTCCAACCTTTTTGTTTCTTACTTTATCATTTTATTCTTCCAGATTTGAATTATTGTAAAGGCTATGCCTATTTCTGTGTGTGTAATTCAAGGGTGCTGTAGAAATGTTTCTCATATAGTAGAAAACTTTCAAGTGTTTTTCATGAGTCTTTACAATACATTACTATGGCTAATTTATGTTATAAAAAAAAATAATAATAATGCAAACAATGTGTAAAAGGGCAGTGAACTTTTTACAAAGGTACGAGTTGAATTCTTGGATGAAAGTAACAGATCCATCATTCGTAATGTCAAAGGACCCGTGCGTGAAGGTGACATCCTGAACCTACTAGAATCTGAGAGAGAAGCAAGGAGGCTTCGCTGATAATCCATATGCTTTAAGGTACAAAATATCTAATTTAAAAGCATTATGTTCCATATAGCTTACAAGAACATGTAACTTAGATTCTCAGTGTTTTCTTTGTTACTTGTAGAAAAACAGATTGGAAGTTTTTACAGACTTGTTGTTGGTCTTGATGAACTAAATGACATTCTGTCACAAATGCATTCTTATGTCTAATAATCCATACTAGTTTAGAAGAGCTTTCAATAGGTAAGGTAGGAATATATGATGTCTTTCTTTGGTGTAACTTGTTTGTAAACTACAGAGATTATGATATTTATAAACGTTGAATGTGGTTCATTCTTGTAACAGAAAGGAAATGCAGTTGTGTTCAAATTTGCTTTGATTGTGTTAAACATTTCAAACAGATTAAGTGTGGAGTACAGTGATGTATTTTGTATTGTGAATTTTAGAGGTAGTCACAGCCCACTGGCCTTTTAAAGACATTTTTCTGAATTATATATGCACTAAAATTATTGAATGTCCATAATTTTATTGTTTACAGGGTTCTAAATAACACAATTCATACACAAAATTTAAACAAAAATACCCTCAATATTGCAGTTAGTTCCACCAAGTACTGCTGGTGTTCCCTATGTTGTGATGAATCAAAATTATTTGTTTTAACCCTTTAGTTAGAACATTCATTCTTGTAAAAAATTATAATTGATTTTTGTTTTCATTTCATATAATTTTGTTGTTTTTTACAGGTATATGTATTTAAACATCAACAACCAACATGTGATTATCATTTCAAGAACTCTTGCATCATAATCATTGGAACTTGGAATTAAAAATTTTAATTTGATATTGGATTTTTTCATTTTCTTGATTATGTTCTTAAATCATCCATACATTTGTAATACATATTATAAAGTAAAAAGTTTTAATATGGAGAAAAATGTATAGAAAATATACAGAGGGGAAGATTTAAAACTATAGTTGGTTTTTGTATTCACTTTTATGATATTACAGAAATACACACCTTAATGGCTCAGTGGTAAATCTGAGGGCTTATAAAACTAATAGTTGGGTTTCAATACCTGTAGTTGGCAGATAACCCAGTGTTTGTATTTGTGCTGCACTACAAACAAATCATAAAAGTATGTGTGACACTGAAAAATATTTATTTGTGAATTGTTTTCCTCATCAAAATGTCACTTTCAGATAAAAAAAGATTACCTAGGGGCCTAAAGAGTTTTAAATTACTAGTGGTGAGTAAAAGACTGCATAACAAAACCAATGTAAAATGGTGTTGTGTGCTACCATTTCTCCAAAGAGAGTATGTGTGTGACTGATGTGTGGAATTCCTAAGAGTTGGTCCAAATTGGCAACGTGTGGCGAATCCAAGACTATACAGGGCTTTTCATTTGTTTGAAACTAAAGTTCACATATTTGGACTTGAACTGGGAAAACAAAAGTTGTAATGTTGGTCTGTCCTAAATATAACTATTAATATACTTATATTCAGAAACAAATCGTTAGTCATAATTACTCATTGTACACAAACACAAGAATTCAGGAATGTCGAGAGCCAGCACGGGCCTCGTTTCTCTCTCTGTTTTTTAACATTTTCAAGAATTTATTAAAAAGATCCTAAATTAGGACAGCAATGAGATTATAAACCAGACAAAATCATAGCAGCAGCTATTTTTACCTCACAGTAT